TTCATTCTTGGAGTCTCCGAGTCTGCTGCCATTTTGTTCCTTCAGTTTTGTTTCATTGTTATACTCCACAAATGAGGGAAATCATTTGGCATTTGTCTTTCTCTGCCCGGCTTATTTCACTGAGCATAATGTCCTCCAGCTCCATCCGTGTTGTTGCAAATGGTAGGATTTGCTTCTTTCTCATGGCTGAATAATATTCCATTGGGTATATGTACCACATCTTCTTTATCCATTCATCTACTGATGGACACTTAGGTTGCTTCCACATCTTGGCTATTGTAAAAAGTGCTGCAATAAACATAGGGGTGCATATGTCTTTTTGAATCTGAGAAGTTGTATTCTTTGGGTAAATTCCATGGAGTGGGATTCCGTGGTCAAATGGTATTTCTATTTTTAGTTTTTTTAGGAACCTCCATATTGCTTTCCACAATGGTTGAACTAGCTTACATTCCCACCAGCAGTGTAGGAGGGTTCCCCTTTCTCCACATCCTCAGAAGCATTTGTTGTTCTTAGTCTTTTCAATGCTGGCCATCCTTACTGGTGTCAGGTGATATCTCATTGTGGTTTTAATTTGCATTTCCCTGATGATTAGTGATGTGGAGGATCTTTTCATGTGTCTGTTGGCCATCTAAATTTCTTCTTTGGAGAACTATCTGTTCAGATCCTCTGCCCATTTGTTAATCAGGTTATTTGCTTTTTGGGTGTTGAGGCGTGTAAGTTCTTTATATATTTTGGATGTTAACCCATGTTGGATATGTCATTTACAAATATATTCTTCCATACTGTAGGATGCCTCTTTGTTTTGTTGATGATGTTCTTTGCCGTACAAAAACTTCTTAGTTTGATGTAGTCCCATGAGTTCATTTTTGCTTTTGTTTCCCTTTCTCGAGGAGATGGGTTCAGGAAGAAGTTGCTCATGCTTATATTCAGGAGACGTTTGCCTATGTTGTCTTCTAAGAGTTTTATGGTTTCATGACTTACATTCAAGTCTTTAATCCGTTTTGAGTTTACTTTTGTTTATGGGGTTAAACAATAACCAGTTTCATTCTCTTGCATGTAGCTGTCCAGTTTTGCCAACACCAGCTGTTGAAGAGGCTGTCATTTCCCCAATGTATGTCCATGGCTCCTTTATCATATATTAATTGACTGTATATAGTTGTGTTTATATCAGGGCTCTCTAGTCTGTTCCATTGGTCTATGGTCTGTTCTTGTGCCAATACCAAATTGTCTTGATTACTGTGGCTTTTGTAGTAGAACTTGAAGTTGGGAAGCATAATTCCCCCTGCTTTAAATTCTTCCTTCTCAGGATTGCTTTGGCTATTTGAGGTCTTTTGTGGTTCCATATGAATTTTAGGATGATTTTTTCTAGTTCATTGAAGAATGCTGTTGGTATTTTGATAGGAATTGCATTGAATCTATAGGTTGCTTTAGGCAGGATGGCCATTTTGACAATATTAATTCTTCCTATCCATGAGCATGGGATGTGCTTCCATTATTGGTATCTTCTTTAATTTCTCTCATGAGTGTCTTGTAGTTTTCAGAGTATAGGTCTTTCACTTCCTTGGTAAGGTTTATTCCTAGGTATTTTATTCTTTCTGATGCAATTGTGAATGGAATTGTTTCCCTGATTTCTCTCTTTGCTAGTTTATTGTTTTCAGTGGGAAGATTCAACTTTGACTCTGACTTCACTGTTGCCAGAAACAAAAGTTGAATTTCTTAGAATTCTTTTAATCTCTTCTATGTCTTTTCAGTTAATTTTTAATAATTAAACTCATTGAGGTAGAACTTACATATAAAAATTAATCAATTAAATGTATAGTTTAACTGTATAATTAAATGTATAGCTCAATGAGTTTGGACAAATGTATACACTCACGTAACTACCACAGTCAACATATAAAACAATGCCATCACCCAAAAAAGTTTCCTGAAGCCCCTTTGTGGTCAATTCCTCACTTTACCCCCAGTTCCAGGCAACTATTGACCTGCTATCATTATATATGACTCCTGCCTTTTCTGGAACTTCATGTAGATGGAATCATGCTCTTGGGCCTGACTTCTTCCTCAGCCTATTCTGGAGATTTATCCATATTGTTGCATGTATCTGGTTCATTCCTTTTTATTTCTGAGTAGTAAGTAATCCATTGTTCAGATATATCACGTTCAGGTCATTTTTGAGATAAGACTTCTATATTTCTCAGGGTAGAGAAAATGGAGTTAATAAATGGGAAGAAGAGAGTTATTGATGTGGAAAGTAAATATGGAAGATTCCTGCAGTATATTCCTTATTAAATGAAATCCTTCCATCTCTTTCTTCAGCCAATTAAACTGAGATCTGAAGGCCTGAATTTAGCTTTGTAGGTTAACTAGTGAAATTCTAGAGCTTGGCCTTTATTTATTTATTTTTTTTTACTTTTTAAAAAATTGAAGTATAGTGGACATAACCCAGAGCCTGGCCTTTAAAAGCAAATCTCAAAACAAAAATGTATGTGGAAAAAAATGAAGATGTCCCCTCTTCCTGGCAGCAAGAGGGAGAAGTATCATTCTGCATTGTAGAGCTAGTTCAAGGAATCTGATTTGATAAGCTATTAGAATGAGAATATTTACAAAAATGGCAATCCTGTTTTCCATTTCCATTTGTGCAAAATGGAGACTTGGTGCCTGTACATAGATACTGTCAACTTGCTCAGTTCTCTCTTAACATAATATGTCCTTGGAAGTATAATTCAAATAAAGGTGTCATATAAAACTTTTGTGCTGGCAAAATTATTTTCAAAATAAACCTATAGTTCTTATTAGTTTCTTTCTTGATCATGAATTTGATTTATTGCCCTAATATTGTGCTAATCAGTATTTCTGTGTTCCTAAACACAATGAATACTGTGAGTATAAACATTGTTTCTATTTCAAAATAGGATGATTGGCAAAAGCAAAACATAAAAACCCTAACTCTGCTGGGTTTTTAATTTCACAATGAGATTAAATCTAGTCTCATTGAAATTATTACCAAAGATGGGAATAATTGTGAAAGAGGCTCCCTCCAGAGGCGGGAAAGCACAAAAATCATTTACACTTGTAATAGTGTGGTTACAAAATTACAATCACATGTGCCAAGAAAATATAGTTCATTTGCTATAGCTAATCAAATCTTGACAGCCCCAATACCACTAGTTGGTTGGTAGCTTGAATTTGCCAATTAATAGAGCTATTATTTACATCTCTTTCTGTTTAAACAGACTTCTTGAAATAACTCCTTCAGGTAAATTTTTAGGCCTTCGGATAGTTTCCTCTTCCTTCATTCTTCCTTCTCCTCTTGAATCTTTCTAGTATGTCTTCTGGGAGTATGGCTCTGTGACCTCCCAGTGAATGGGGAGAGTCTCCGATCTGCTCTCACAGGGTCTCTGGAGAGAGGATGAGGGACTGAGAATGAGTTAATAATCAGAGACCTCTGGTTTCTGAAGCAGTTTTCCTTTTCTTTCTTTCTAATCACTGGGAACTTTGTTGGCAACTGTCCTTTAAGTCTGCATTCAAGAAAGTATTGGTCTAATCTCTTGGCTCAGTCATGACTTAGCAGCACCTCCACTGATAACAGTCCCCTATTGGCTCTTGTTCTCACGGGCACTGAGGATCTCTCTCAATATCCACGTCCTACCTGAGTTACTGGTTCAACCTGAAACTGTTCCTCCAAAACACTCTTGGGTCTCAGGAAATTTAGGAGGCTGTCTTGTGTCCCCTCTGTCTAGTTATGGCACATTATCATGTCTACATTTCTATGCATGGCATAGAGGTAGGAGAATTGAGACATAAGTTACCCTGGTTTTGAATCACTCAAAGTCCAAATTCTTTGCTTTACCTCTGATTTCCCTTTTCTCCCAGACTCAAGGAATTTTTTATTTCTTCTGGGACTATAGAGAAAAAGACCTGTCTCAAAATTTTTTCTTTAAAGATTATTGTTTATAAAATTTCTGAGGTGGGTTTTCAGGCTTCTGGGTTTTTATCCCGAAAGCTTCTCTCAAACTGTTTTCTCTGCCAGGAGTTTAAAAATAACAATTTTAAATGCAAGAGCTGATTAAGACATTAAAAGATGCTATTAAGAAAGTAAAATGGCAAGCCACTATATGGAAGAAAACTTTTTTTTGTAATGCATTTAACTGACAAAGGACTCATAGCAGAATATATAAAGAACTCTTAAAAATCAATAAGAAAAAGACAGTCCAATAGAAAAATAGGCAGGAGAATTAGGCAAGCAATTCACTGGGGCATATTTGAATGACCAATAAGCATATTAAGAGATGCTCAATCTTATTTGTCATTAGGGACCTGGAAATTCAAACAACGATATATACTGCATCAATTATATCTCCAGGATTCACAGAGGTGACTGAATGAGGACATGAAGAAGGTAATGCCATTGAAAGAAAGTTATTACTTAGTGCTTTCAGGAGAAGGGGGTACGCACACTGTGCAGGGTCACATGTGGAAGCACCAGGTTTGGTCAGGAGGCAGAAGCGGAAGTGAAGGGAAAGCAGAGGCCACAGCCTTTATTTATTTATTTGTTTCAAGAAAGGCAAGGTAAACAGATTAGGATTGGTTGGTTTGAATAATATGAGCAGACTCTGGGCTATTGGAACAGTCTCTAGTTGTCTGGCACCTGGCCCTGGGTGATTTAGGGCAGGAGAAATATTGGCTTAGTGTGTGAAAGTTAGGTAAAGGAAGGGATTGGGGAGATGGGCTTAATATGGGTTGGGAGGTTTGTAATATGATTTTTGCATATTTACAAAAGCTGGATTGCAGGGGAAATGTAAACCACTTGGACTGTTAGTAGGGTCCTGTGATTAATGGATGCCAAATAGATGCAGTATCTAAGAAAACACAGACTAGCACCCCATCTACTAGATAGGCTAAATTAGAGAGACATACTGACAATACAAAATCTGGCAGGGATGTGGAACAACTGTAATACTTGTACACTACTGGTGTATGAAGTTCAAGAGTAGGAAAAACGCATCAAGGATATTAGAAGTCAAAAGAGCAGTTTCATCTTCTTTGGAGGAGTGTTACTGAAAGGGGCACAAAGAGGATACTGAGCTGGTGAAGTCTTTTTCTTTGGCTTAATTGACAGAAAACAGCAGATATAATATACAACAATATACATTTATCATACTGTGTCATGGTTAGAAGAATTCTCTGGCTCTGTGCCATAATCTAATACATTGAGATCTTGGTCATTTTACCCATCCCATAAGATCTTGCTAGTTATGATGTAATAAGAAATATATATTTGATCTCTGCCCCCAGTTTCTGACAGAGGCTCCTAAAACCCTTCTAATTTTCTGAGTGATGGGGGTGATAGGAGCCTCTTATACAGAGTTCCTGATTCTCTTGGAATTTCCTGGATGATTGGAGTGTCTTTTGTTCTAATGAGGTGAGTCTTGGGGAGCTCCTGGATGACCTCAGAACGGGGGCTGGTTGCCAGAAAGACCAAGCCATGATTAGAAGCTTGGAACTTTCATTCCCAACCCCCATCCTCTGGAGAGAGGATGAGGTGCTGAGAATGAGTTAATAATCAATGACACCTAGGTGATGAAGCCATCATAAAAATCCCTGTGGGTCTTAGAGAGCTTCTAGGTTGGTGAACCCATCCACACACACAGTGCTCAGACCCTTCTGGGCCTACCTGATGTCTCTTCATCTGGCTGTTCATGTGTATCCTTTATAATAAACTAGTAATAGTAAGTAAAGTTTTTCCTTGGGTTTTGTGAGCTGTTATAGCAAATAACCAAGCCTGAGAGAGGGGCCGTGGGAATCTCTGATTTGTAGCCATATCAGATTGAACTGGTCCACTGAACTGATGATGTAAGACTGACAGGACATGTCGAGTATAAAACAGCAGGTACTGTACATGCTTAAGGAAATACATGTCTAGCAAAAGGCAGGGAGACTAAAGGACAAGAGCTTTTCACTTCATTGAAATTTCTTGGTGCTTTTTGATTTTGCTTACAGGCAGTCCCCTCCAAAATGAAGGATAAATTGTTTTACTTGTGAAACCTACTACTAAATGAAAAAAACAAAGAGACATCACTCAGGTGAGTTTAGAGACAATGTTTACCATATTCAGGTGTACTTCTCTGACTTTACCTGGTCACCTAAAGTGAAGCCACATTTGAGTGAGACTCAGAAGAAAAAAAGGTTCTCCAGCTGGTCCAGTCTGCCATGCAACTTGGTCCTTACAATCTTTTTGATCACAGTGTTTGTGGCAAATGGAGGTACTGTATGAAGCTTGTGGCAAGTTCCGACAGGGGCATCATTGCAGAAGCTCTTTGACCATGACCTTTGGCAGATAAACATTCTCCCACTGAGAATCTGCTCTTGGCTAACTGCTAGGCTTTGGACACAGAATGACTGCGGAACTCAAGCTGTTCATCAAGAGCTGGTTACTATGTGGTCCTCCTCAGTTTGAAACTGACTCACAGATATGAAGTAACTAGCGGTTACCAATAGGGAGAGGTTGGGGCAGGTTTGCAGGGAAGGGTGAAGGGGATAAAGGGGCACAATATTCACAATCACAATATAAGTTGGTCACGGGGATGGTAGCACAGTTTGGAGAATACAGTCAATGATTCTGTTACATCTTTCCACATTGATAGATGGTAACTGCAGTAGAGGGGGTGAGAATTTAATAATATGGATAACTGTTGAACCACTGTGTTGTACTTTTGAAACCAATATAAGATTGTATATCAATGATACTTTAATTTAAAAAAAGGTGGCACTAGAACAAAGTGCTTTCACAGCTGCATTATATCTATATTTAAGCAAACAGATGATTCCAATAGTGTTTAATTATGCTATACTTCATAAAAAAATAAGAAATTTCACACTTTCTATAAGTCAATTTTGTTACTACTTATTTGTTAGTTTTAATGGTTCAGAGGTTTATTCAGGCTGCTACTTTTCCTTGATATAGTTGGATAAATTATATTTTTCAAGGGAACTAATTGTTCAGGGTTTGAAAATTAATTGGCACAGAGTCGTTCATATTATCTCATAACTTTTTAAACTGTTAATCCAGGGCTGCCAATACAGTTGCACATATTGTTTACTGCAGAAGCTTATCTGAACAAGGAATGAATGAGAGCAGCCTTCACCCAGCTTTCCAAGTAGCAAACCCAGGGTGAGGCTGCTACCACCCAGGGGGGTGGGTTTTTTTCTTTTCCTAACTCTTTGTGAGGGCTAGTTGTGGCCTGACTGTAACTTACCTGTATCCCTCTTTTCTTTCCAGAATTGTTGATTTGCCCTCTTTTGTTTTATTGGTCAAGTCTGCTAGAGTTTTGCCTTTTCTATTAGTTCATTTCAAATAATTTTATTTTGTCTTTTTGCAAACTCTGTTGTGTCTTTGTCTCATTTTCAGTTAATTCGTGCTTTCATTTTTTATTACTGCCATTCTTTTTCTTTCTTGAAGGTGATTGTGTTGCTTTTTTTTCCCAGGGAAACTTAGCTTAATAATTTTTTACCTTTCTTCCTTAATATAAGCCTTTAGGACTCTACATTTCTCTTTGTGAATTACTGTATCTTCATCCTATCCTATGAGGTTTTTATTTAATTCTGAAAATGTTCACACATAAAAGTTGAGAGAATTACATGGTGATACCCAATTGCCCAGCATTGAATTTCTACAGTTAAGATTCCACCAAATTTACCTTATCATGCAATTTTCCATTTATCCACCCTCCTTCTATCCATTCATCAAACATCTTATTTTTAATGCATTTCCAAGGAAGTTACAGGCATCGGTACCTTTTGCTCCTAAACATCTCTGCATGCCTACAATTATCTGGAGTTTAATTTATTTATTTATGGAAATTTAAAGACTAGTATTCTTTTTTAGTTCAATGATGAAAACTATCAGAAGAATATTCTCCTGAAAATTATTTCTTATTAGGAGAGAAGAAAGGGAAGGAACATCATCTCACAGAGCCACAGATGGTGTGGGAGTCATGCCTCTCCAGCAGATGGAGATAGTCTGTTAGTCTGTCCAGGCACTCTCTTGGTCAACAGGATTGTAGTCTCTATCATCCTCACCCTCCTCCAGCTCCATGTGATCTATTTCTTGGAACAAAGACTCAGCTACCTCCACATTATTTCCAGCATCTTCCAGGATATCAGATGTGTTAGGACTATGATCTGTTTCAAATAGCTGTTTCCCACTTACTTAATTTTTCCTGCTTGTTCTTCCTTCATTTGTTTCTCACTAATTTCCAATGGTTCTGCATCAAACTTGGCCTTCTAACTTAAATTCTCAGTTGTAATGAGAGTGCCATGAAATAACTGCTTTTCAACTTCTGCTTCTTTCTCTTTTTGTTCCTTTTTCTTTTTTTTCCCCAGTTTTTATTTGATTGACTATTTCCTTTAAATTTTCTTGCACAGCCGTCACCAAAGAAAAGATCACCATACCAACGTTTTCTTCTGCCTATAATACTAATAATTTTTAAATATCTGAAACACCACCAATATCCTAGATTTTCCTGGGAGAATACTTCATGGGTGGGACTTCATCTGGATATTTCTTACTGTATGTAAACTTGAGAGTATCTAGACAATTTCGCTATTTTCTCCAGCCTCAGATGTCACAGTAATGGTGAAGCTGGGTGGATTTTCTAATAATACTTAGCAGAACCATGTCAGGCAGAACACTCCTGCAGGAGAATGTGGTGTCAGGAGAGTCCAGTTATATTTTGGAAGACCATTTGTTAGGAGGCTTGTACCAATGTTCATTTGAGCTGGGAAGGAGTCAGGGTAGATGGACTCCAGAGCCTCCAGCTTCTTGTGCCACTCCTCATGGTAATCTGTCATCAAGGCCTTGCTGTGCTCAAGGACTACCCAGACACTCAGGTGGTATGCAGCAGCCAGGTGGGCACAGGTGCAGAGTCCCCAGCTGGGAAGCCTGGGGCCCAAAGCCAGGCTGGCCCTGTGGTACAAATTAGTTATTTTTTTAAAGTAAAATTGCTGTAGAGTGAAATACATGCATATTAAATGTACCATTTGATGAATTTTGACAAATGTCACCCCACGAGTTTCAATGTATTATATACTCATTACCATTCAGTTCTAAGTGCCTTTTCATTTTCACTATGATTTCTTCTTTGGTCTCTGAGTTTAATGATATTTTGATATAACTGCATTAATAATAGACTTGTATTGATGAAAAAAACACATGCAGTTACTACCTGGGTAAATCCACCTGAGTTTACTTATTTGGAGGATCTAAGAAATGTCAGCAATGAGCAAGAAGCACAGTACATAAATCAGTTCTAACAATTTCCTGGATAGTAGGTGGAATTGGTTTCCAGATCCCCAAATCCTAGCAGGTGGGGTTGCCAGATTTAGTAAGTAGAAATACAGTATTTAGCCCGGCCATCCTACAAACAATGAATCATGGTTTTAGGTAACAATTCATGAGTGAGTTGAGCATCATACCATTCTTTCTAGATGGCTGGCTGTCCCTTTTCTGGCCTACTTGTTATATATGCAAGGCTGGAGTCACTGGACACACGAGCCAGTTTGGATATGTGCCAGCAACCCCATCATCAGAGTCAGTTGCTCCTCATCAATATTGGACTTAAAAAATATACAACAGGATTAGACAGTTGAGTCAAATACAGCATATACACAGATGTGAGTACATGTTAATATTAAAAATACTTAATATAGTAGATAATATAGTCAACCCGTGCCTTTCTCTTCAACTCCATGCCTCACCCTCCTTCTTCTCTGCCCTCCAGTCACATTGGCCTTCCATCTGGCCCCTGAAATCACTATGGTTTCTCCTACCACAGGGCCTTTGTATATGGCAGAGCTTCCCAAATCTTATGTCAGGAAGGTGTTAACAATTCTGTCAAGGAATGATTCCTCTCAGCCCTGGAATAAAGATGGGTGGAGACCCTCCAGTGGGTTGAAGTAGGGAGAGCCAAAGACAAAAGAAAAGGTAAATGTTGGGAAGCACTGGATAAGGGGTTCCCTTCTGCCTGGAAGGCTTTCCTCTCCACTTGTACCTCCTACTCATCTTCAGATCTCAGCTCCAACATCACTTCTTAGAGAAGACCTCCTAACTTCTCTAACCATGTTGGATCTCCTGACTATATGTTCTCAGACCATCCTGTGCCTTTCCTTCATAGTACTTATCACAGTTGTAATTTTACATTATTTATGTCTCCTTAGCTTGACCTTAAGTTCTATGAGAGCAAGGACTATGTCTTCATCTCCCTCTTCTCCTCCTCCAAACTTTTAAAAT